GCTGCGGTCGACTCTGAGGATCCCCGTACGCCGCCGCAGCCGCATCGCAGCCGCAGGGTGCCACCGCGGGTGGCCAGCCCGCCGCGCCTGCGGGCCCGGCCGCCGCCGCGCGCGTGCCGCCGCCGCCCAGCGGCGGCGGAGTGCGCGGCTGCTCCTTCACTGTCCCTAACCCGGGCAGGAAGCGTGGGCAGCAGCAGCGCGGCAAGGGCCGCGGTGCCAGGGGCCGTGCCGATGCTGGACCCCGTCTCGTTGACAAGAACGCGCTGTCCGCGCGCGGCAGCGGGCCCTCGCGCCAGTCGCGCTCGCCGTCGCCCGACTCTCCGCCCGCCAAGCGGGCCGCCTCCGCTGACTCGTCCGGCTATGAAACCGATACGCCGGACGAGGTGCAGCAGGAGGCGGTCCGCAGGGTATGCGGCGCGCTCGGCATGAGGGAGCAGTTCGAGGCGGCGATGGCGGCGGGCGAGCTGCTCGAGATGCTCGAGAGCTTGCCGCGAGGGGCGGTCGAGGCCTCTGTCCGACAGATGCGGGGTTACAACCGCACGGGCGAGTGGCCAGAGCCCATTCTCACCAGCCCTGCCCCGCAGCGCGGCCGCTCGCCAAGCCCCGTCGATGAGTGGTCAGATGGTTAGTGCCCGAGAGCGAGGGGTCCGGGGGGGAGCACAAACATAGGACGCCCAGCCTTGCCCTCGTGCCGCCGAGTGCGTATCCTATGCGAGAGAGATCCCCTGTGCCCTGTGCCCAGCCCTCTCCGCGCGGCGATGCGCCCTCCCCCCTCGCTTTTGCAAAATCCTGCAAAGGTGGGGACGTGTCTGTCCTCGACCCAGCCCTAGCTTGGGATGTCCGTTGTATTTATTTATTTATTACTGGCGCGGACTGGCACGAGAAAAGAAGAAATTTACGTCACAGGTACACCAAAAAAATTTCCGAAAAGAAGAGAAAGTCAGTCTTCCACCCATGTGCTGCACCTCTTTCGACACGCCCGACACGCCGACCTCCTCTCCCTCGAGCGTGCGCTTGCGTGACGAGCCGGCGGCATCCATGTGGCCTCGCAGAGCCTGGACGGGCTGCATGATGTCCGAGGCATCAAACTGCGACGAGCGATGCGCCGGCCTTCTTGCGC